GATGGGGGAGGGTGTGGGGGGTTCTGAGACAGTGGAGGGTGTGGGGGGCCGTGAGTCCGGGTGTGAGGGTGTGGGGGCTATGTGACAGGAGAGAGAGTGAGGGGTCATGAGACGGGGAGGGCATGGGGGGCTCTGAGAAAGGGAGGGTGTTTGGGGTCCATGAGGCAGGGTTAGGGAGTGGAGGCAGGGAAGGCTGAGGGGGGATCTGGGACTGGGGCAGGGTGTAGGGGTGGGGACAGGAAGGGTAGGGGGGCTCTTCCAGTGGGACCCGAGCCTGCTCCGTGAGGGACTGTGGGGGGTCTCTGACGTGGGGGTTTATGGAGCACCTGCTGCCGGGGGCCAGGGGCTCCCCCGTCAGCCTCCCCCGTCCTCCAACCCTCTCTGTCCTTCCTCCGTCCCCCCTCTCGCTCTTGCCCTCCGCCTCCCTCCCTCCCTTGCACCTGGTGACCGGGTCCGTGCAGAGAACCGTGGGCCCAGGTGAGGCGCACAGTTACAAAGGCTCTAGGTTACTGAACCTGCAGGCAGCCCTGTGTCCAGACCCAGCCTCGTGTCTTGGGGGTCCCAGACGCCCCTGTGGAATGGTTCAGAGCCCACATTGCCTTGCCTCAGTGTCCTTAGCTCTGCGTGGTGACGACAGGGTCCCCGCGTCCTCCTTGGACGCGCTCAGGGGTCCCTCCTTTGCAGCCTTCCTGCCGCCATGGCTGGGCTCAGTCCCCGTCCCGGCCACACGGTGGCGCTGTGTCATCCGAGGGCCGCTGCCCCATCCGCAGCTTTCGGGGGAGCCCTTTGCCACTGTCTCTAGCGCTCATCACCCCATCTACTCCCTTCTACACCTGGGACCCCACTTCCGGAGCCCCCTGGGGACCACCCACTAGGGGAAGGGGGGTTTGGGAAGCTGGACACCATCACAGACATTGCAATGACGCCCTTGGCCCATAGCCCTGCGGACTATGTCCTGCCATCTGCTACCATCCAGGCATCTACCGGATCTACTGTAACCTGGAGCCTCACACCAGCTCGCAGGAAAGGGAGGGGACCCCAACAAGGGCTGGCCGCAGCCTTCCAAGCTCAGACGGCATGCAGATGGCCACTGCAAGGCCATGTCTCTCGCGGCCCTTCTCCCTCCCCTCCAAGTGCCCCTATTGGTCCCGGCTCAGCCCCTTACCCCATATGTAGGCTCCAGGTCTGGAGTGGGGGGCCCCAGACGGAACCACCACGTAGAAAGCTCTCTACGCCTTGGACAGAGTGGAGAAGCCCACAGGGTCTCCAAGGCTGTCAATCTTCACCAAAGCAAAGCCCAAACCACACCCACTGCCCTGGAGTCGATTCTGACCTACAGCGCCCCTAGAGGACAGAGTGGAACTGCACCACAGGGTCTCCCAGGCTGTCA